AGTTTCACATTTTCTAAAATAAATAAGTTATGAATTTATTGAGATTAAAACAAGTTTTTATTATTTTAGAATATAGAAAACCACCTTTGAAACTAGCTAAAGGACCAAATTTGTCCAGTTTCGACACTTGGAGGGTGTCTAATACCTAGTTTCATAGTTTAGGATTGAAAATCGAACTCCCGTGCAAGTTGAAGGTTGAAAAATATACTTTACCCTAAGAACTAACGGAGCTAATAATTGGTCGGTAAAACCAATTAGCTCTTATTATTCTATAATTATGGCCTGTTTAGGTATAAGGGCTAATTGTTAGCTAGCTAAAATTAGTTAAAATTAGCCCTAGCCTGTTCAGAATATGGTTAATAGGTGGGCTAATTTGTTAGCCAAGCATACAACTAGTTGTTAATCAAAAAGCTACCAATCTTACCTAGTAACTAGTCCTAATGATCCAAGCAAGCTCTTAGCCCATGTTCAGCCCGTTATTTGAAGATATGCTAAGTTTTAGCCTGGGATCAAACACCCTCCAAGGTGCTGGAAAGCTTCTGAAGAGAATGTGGCTGCACGGCCAATGAAGCCCAAAATTTCCACAATGCTGGCATCAGTAAACATAGGATACTCTAGAACACAGTTCACGTGCACTACTACCAGGCAATCCCGACGCCAGCACAAACACAATCGTCTCGTTCAAGTACCCATCAGTCACACCTGTCGATTGTCACGTCCTACTCCTACATACAAACAATCTACGTTAGGCAGGACAATCGACAATCTACGCATAACGCATGTGGTATTTGTACTGATCCACGTCGACGGCGACGTCTGACCTTCGCATGAACATTTTGCACAGACAACAAAACAGTTCTTCAGCGTCGTCCCAACTCCCAACAGTAAAGACGAACATTCCACCACTGTCCTATCGCTGGTCGCTGCCGAAACAGCTGGCGGGAGTGCAACAAAGACCCGGCAGCCGTTCCCTCGCCTCCACGCCAGTCGTCCACAGTCCACACTCACTCACCGATTGGTTCCAGAAACGGGTATCGATTTGAAACGTGGGCCATGGAACGGTGTTGTTTTTCACTCTCCGTGCTTTATTAGTTCCCAAAAAGTTTTTCAAAAAGTGCTAAAGTAGCTATCACATCGAATCTTACGATACGTGCATGGAACATTAAATGTAGATGAAAAAAATTAATTATACAGTTTGGTTGAAAATTGTGAGATAAACATTTTAAACCTAATTAGTCCGTGGTTGAACACTAATTATAAAATAAAAACAAAAGTGCTTTCATATCTAATTTTATAAAATTCTCAAACTAAACACAGCCTCAGACGTGTTTCTCTGACTGAAGATGGCACCGTTGCGTGAATGTGCGATGATAATAATAATAATAAAGCTTTAGAGTCTGACATTCCTGCCATCAGGCAGGCGTGTCTGCTCAGTGTCGGGTCCCGGAGGCCGATGCTTATCCGCCTCTTCGTCCACGAGACCACGAGAGAGGATAATAACAGAATATTTGTATCCTATATTTTAGCTCATTTATATAATAGTTATATATTCACTATTAATACATAGTTTATTTATCACTTTTATAGAGTTTTTTTTTCTCATGTCTAAATCAGTGGTAAACTTACAACCTGTTTCTTCTCTCTCCTTCCATCTCTTCTCCACCTAAGCATTCAGGTGCAGCCCTTATTATACCTGCTCTAACAAGGTTAACCTGTCATTAATCCGTGTGCTGTTGTTTGGCAGTTGCAAGACTGACGTTTAATTCTTTTGGACGGTCAGCTGGTCGACGGCTGTCCGTCCGATCGACGGCGACCGTGCGGATCGGACGGTTGCGGACGGCCGTGACGCTTCGACGCGCGTGCTTTATCAACTGCTCCCTCCCTCCCGTCTCGCCCACTTCGTCCTCTTCAATTCAACTTCCGAGTCGTCACCTCACCTGCCAGCTACCGAGAAGCAGAAGCGCACGAGCGACACGCAGCCGCCGCCTAGGAGGCCAAGAGCAACCGGAGTTTGAATGGCCCGCGACGTCGGCGGAGGGTCACCGGGGGCGGAGCGGCGGCGGGTGGCGCTGCGTGCGCTCCTCGCGTCGGGTGGTCAAGCGGAGGCGGAGTCCGCGAGGGCGCCGGGCAAGGGCCTGCTGCGCGGCCTCCGGTGCACGTCCGCGGCCGCGTCGCAGGCTATCGCGCCGGAGACCCGGCGGCCTCCAGTGGACTGGCGCGGGCTCGGGTGCGCGTCTGCGGCGGCCCAGGCTCACGCGCCGGTGGGCGCGCCCCGGCGTTCCGAGGAGTGGCGCGGGAGGCGGCGGAGGAACGGGCGGGAGAGGCGGAAGGCGAGGGGCGGCGGCGGCGGCGGCGTCAGTGGCAGTGCCGGTACCGGTGCCGTGGTGGGCGTCGGCGGGGACGTGTGGTGCACGCCGGGGATACCGTTCGCCGCCGAGGCCACCTCGGTGGACTGCGTGGTGGCGCCGCACCAGACGGTGGGCGCGCGCCGCCGCGCCGAGGCCGACAGGCCGCGCAGAGAGGTATGCCTTAGCCTTATCGCTCCCTTTGCTCGCTGTGGATCCGGTCCTGGATGCGGCAGGATTCTGCATCTGTTCGTACTGAAACCGTTCGTAGTTTGCTAGGATTTCATCTTGTCTGTCCTTGCGTGCCCAGATTTGATGGATGCTGTCACATGTTCACGAGTCATTCCTCATTCATGTCTCTCGCTTTAGTCCTGCCATCCCGCAGCTGTTTCCTCCATTAATCCGTTCACGAGTCATCCTGCGAATTGACCATTGATTATTCCTCGGTGACAGAGGCCTGGCGCGCCTCCTGCCAGGAGGGTCACCATGCGGGAGCACATGTCCTTGTCTCCTCTGAGTTCACCGCCACACCATGACATGCCGTTCGTTGATGCCGACCGTGCACCTTCTGGACGCATCCGACATATGAGTGCCCGCCGGCACTCCCAAGCACGGGTTGAGGAAGAGGTACGATACAGTTACGCAGCATCTATTCTGTTCAGCTCACTGTGTCGTGTGCTTGGATATGAATTTTGTTATGAATCAACTCTGCAAGCTACAAATTTACAATGCGTCGCTGTGGTCAGACTTCAGAGCCTTAAAAACCTTATTATGAAGTCCTTGCCTGCAATAGGACCCCTTTTTATAATTATAGGTGACTTCCGGTGTGTGTGTGCTTCATTTGTTAGTTGAGTGTTTCACATGATATCACCCTTTTGAGATATGGAGTGTCAACTAACATGGACTTTCTGTTGAGTTAGACATCCAGTAGCTAAGAACAGGCTGCGCCTTGGGAAGTGTGTGGTACCCCATGCTATCTACTCTACTCTACTTGCTGGTAACGTACCCATTGAGGAAACGGCCACAGATATGAGGGGTTCACATGACGGCAGGTGATACCGTAATAGGAGAACATGGCTCAGGAATAGATAAGTTTGGTGGTCAGGTGGGACTTTGAGTGTAGATGCAGAGTTCTGTCTATATGCATCAATGCTGAATCATTGTGCTGAGCTGAACAACCATGTTGCTGATTCTTTCGGTTAACTGCCATGTTGCTGAAATGATGCTTGTTTTGCTGTTTACCGAGCTCTCTGGAATGAGCCAGTGGCAATGGATTACACACATTACCAATGATTAAAATTAGGTGTTGTGTTCAAGTAGGTTCGTTCTATAGTAGCAGTAGGTGTTAATTAGCTGTATAAGAAGGTATTACAGAATGTGAACTAACATTTTTGTCAGTGAAAGGTGCTCTTTGTTATTACATTATAGTGCTGCAATTGTTGGTTGAAGTACTTAGGTGTTCAGGTAAAGGAGTTAACGGTACTGTTTCCATGGTATTTTAGTCTGTAGCCCTATGTACTTGTTCTATACACATGGTATTTTAGTCCATAGAACGCACACACCGAGGAGATCGACACCTGGCTATTGGTGTGCTTCCACCCGGTCATCCATGTGCATTGTAGATCCTGCAGTATTTTTTAGGGGAGATCCCTGATGATGTCTTTTTTTTTAGGGAACAGGAGGGGCTCAGGAGCCCCTACTGAACCTGATGATGTCTTTAGTCAGTGTTTTTTTTAGGTGCTGTGTTTTCTTCTTTAATTTTTCGAACTTCTTATTTGTGACTTGCAGATGATGTTCCGAACAAGGATATTATTAGGAAGAATGGGTATTTATGATCAGTATCAGGATTGGCGCCTCGATGTTGACAACATGACATATGAGGTATCTTCTCACTGCATACCATGTAAAATAAAACAGAAGATTTTATGCCTTCATCATCGCTCACTATTTCACTTGACAGGAATTGCTCGATCTTGAGGACCGGATTGGATATGTAAGTACAGGGCTTCGTGAAGACGAGATCATTCAAAGCCTTAGGATGGTCAAGTACTCCGCCTTCAACCCCAAGCATTTTTGTACAGAACTGGATAGGAGATGTAGCATCTGTCAAGTATGCCCCTTCTCTTTCTCTTTTCCCTCCTCACTTCCTGCACCTCTACTCGGCACCTGATGTGTAGCCATCGACAATTTTCAGGAAGAGTTTGAAGCAAACGAGGAAACTGGGAAGCTGAGCTGTGGCCACAGCTATCATGTGCATTGCATAAAGCAGTGGCTTTCTCGGAAGAACGCTTGCCCGGTTTGCAAGACCACTGTCTCAAAGACCTGAAGTAGTCCCTATTCTAGTGTCTAAACCATACTTTCATCGAGTATAATTAATCAAATTGAAATGCAAAAGATTAGTTCTTCTTTTGTTGCTGTACAGCCCAGCCGTCTGTATACACGCCTGTACAAGAACAGGATCCAAGTATTTATTTGCGTATAGAATTTACAGTGTCTATTGAGTACAGTGTCTAGTACAGTACTGCCTGTCTGACTCAACGCATGATTCATTCTGTTGAGAAAGTTGCTGCATCTCAATATAATTTAAGACTTTTTTCCCCCAGCTCCAGCTTGAATTCAGCTTGGTCTGAACTATGAAGTATTGGGGAGCATGTTTCATCCACCACATTTCCCGGTGACGACCTTCAGGTACTTGGACACCACTGTCCTCGTCTTCCCGCTCTTGATGCTGAACGACGGCGGCCTTTGCTTCCGCACCACCACCGACGACGACGGTGTCCCCGTCGTCTTCGACGTCTCCGACCCCACGCCCTCCCTCAGCGCCGGCCTCCTCCGCGTCTGCGCGCGCTGCACGCCAACCCGCGGTTGAGGCTCCTCTCCACTCGGGCTGTCCGTGGCATCCGCTTCCAAGGCCCTCGCTTGTGCCATCTCCTTCTCGATCATCTCGATCCGCATCGCTATCTCCTTCTCGCCGGCGCGCAGTGCCTCCGCCCACATCTCCGCCGCGGCCACCTTCTTCTCGGCGACGATCCGGACGACCTCGGGGCGGCCGGTCAGGTACTCATACTCGAACCTGGAGATCGTCACGTTCCTGGACGTCTGCTGCGACATGACCGCCACCCTGGCCAGCGTTGCGAACTCGACGGCGGCCCTGAGCTTCGCCGTCGCCACGGCCTCCGACGCCCTCGCCGCCTCGAGCTCCTTGACTGACTCCCTGACCCTCTGCTCAACTGCCGCGATCTCGGCGCTGACGGTGTCCGCGTCCTCTCTGACGCACTGGTTCTCCAACTCCGTCAACGCCCTCTCCTTCTCCACTGCCTCGGTCTCCTCGCCCAGCTGCCGCAGCGCGGCCGACAGCTCGGCGAGCACCGCCTCGACCCTCTCATCAGCGGCCGTGGCGGCGTCCAGCCGGCTCCTGGCCCTGAGAAGCCTGGCGTTCAGCTGCTGCACCTGCGCGCTGGCCCTCTCCTCCTGCTCGGCGAGCCGGTCGATTTCCTCGGTGACACGCGCCGTCTCCATGCGCGTGCGTTCCATGGAGCCGGTGAACCGGGCTCCCTCTTCCTTGATGGACTCCGGCTCTACCCTCGCCGAGGTCAGCTCAGACTCCGCAGCCTGCGGTGATGAGCGGTCGTCGTGTTCGTGCTCACCGTGTTGCACAATCGTCAGTGCGGACTCGGCGTGGCCCGTCTGCTCCGTCGCGGGCACCACCGCCGTGTCCGCGGACTCGAGTCCCACGTCAAAACTGCTCGTTGTGGCGAACCTGTCGTCAGGGTCTCTCGCTCCGAGGCTCCTGTCTCTCCGCAGCACGTCGGCAAGCGCCCTCTTGGCCTGCACGCCCTCGCGGAATCCGCCGGCCACGGCGAGCTTCGCTGTGCCACGGCCACGCTCCTCCTTGTTTTCCTCGCCGGCCTCTCGCTCAACACCGTTGAGCGTACGCGAATCGGGGCTCATCCCTCTGGGCGTCGGCGTCTCAACCGGACTCGGCCTTGGCCTCCCTCGCGGCCTTCACCTCGCGCTGTATCTCCCAGAGCTCCCTCTTGACGCAGTTCAGCTCCTGCATCACCTCGACGAGCAGCGTGTTGCTATGATCCCGAGGCTGATCGGCGCCCGGTGCCTCGGCGTCCATCACCAACCCCGACTTCTTCCTCCTGCTGCTAGCGCTGCCGCTGGCATGTGTTCTTTGGAGCTCCGACCTGTGAGAAGACCTCGCCGTGGCATTGGCCTGCTCGATCTGCCGCTCCAGTTCCTGTGCCATGCCAGTTGCCCTCGACAGCTCGAACTCGGCGCGGCCGCGCTCTCGCTCCGTGACGGCCCTGCGCTGGTTCAGCCTCTCCAGGCTGGGTCTCGCCGGTGAGTCGTTCGCAGGTGAGAATTTCTACGTGCGCCACGGTCGATGTCAAATACAGCACAGAGCAGTACAAATCGGCAGCAAAAAGGACATTAAAGAAATAAAGAAAAAAAAGGCAGCACATCATTTCCTTTCAGAGATTTGATCAGATGGTACCTTGTGGGTGGCTCTTCTCGTTCTCCTGCTCCTCCCCGGCCTCCTCACGTCGATGCTCTGGCCAAAGATGCTCATGGCCTCTCCTGATCTGATCTCTCCAGAGTTCTGCTCCATTTTACCCTCCCTGTTCTTGGAAGGTCCCTTGGAAAGCTGGAAACTATGGTTATATAGTAGGATAGAAACAAGGTAAAAGGATTCTGGAGCCGTGTGTGTTAACAGAAATGACAAAGCGTTGGCGCTGAAGTTCCAAGCCTGAATGCTTGGCAGAATTCAGAGGAGCTCACTAGCAGTACAACACATCGCAGTCGCAGCTATATTATTCATGATGTCACGGCCTCCTTCTAGAAAGCGAGCAAATATCTGGCTGGTGATTGTGATTTGTCCCCCAGCTCGCATTTCCTTGTTAAATCAGTTGCCTTGGTGGTTCATTGGACAGCATATAAATGGAAGTCCCAATATCACTTTGGGTCGATGAAATCAGGAACGGTTTAGGTTGGAGTGAGTCACGCAGCCTCAGGAGGCAGATTACTGCTTCGAAAACATTACGGTGTAGATTAGTAGAAGTTCACCGAATATGCGGAGGTTTCATGTTCTTGTTTACATATATTTTGTGAGAACTGACTGAACAAACGGGCCCTGTCGTATTCAGCTTCAGCAATCTGAATATCTGATAGGCTAAAGCTGATGCTCTCGTCTCCTGCTGCTAAATTACTACCTGGAAAACGAATCACACCGCCTCATAACCGCAATTCCCTGCGTCACCGAAGTTAACGACATCAATAGAGCTCGTTGTATGGTTGAGCAAGATACAATGCCCGTGCCTTGGAGACTCCTACGGACCTACTAACAAATACCAGGCACAACCGGTGGATTTTCACTTTGCTGTTGGCGCCTGTGCAGAGGACAAGCTGTGGAATTGTATCATCACCATTGCTGCATGAGCTTCATCCTGGGAATTGCTGTCAGAGGGTCAGATCAGCAGTGACATGTATCATGTATGCAGCCAGAAGACACAACCCTTGATGAACTAATGGTGCCATGCTAAGACAGTTGGCTGCTCTGCTCCTGGCTGGCAAGACAGTTGGCTGCTCTGCACTTTTGGCATTTAAATTAATTAATATATAATATTTGAATTTATTTTTGTTTTCAAATTAATTATTAATATAAAATTTGAATTTATTTTGTTTTCAAATTAATTATTAATATAAAATTTGAATTTATTTTGTTGGGGTCCTCCTAAATAGAAGAACACCCTTCAAAATTTAGCGTATGCTGCTAATTGTAGCGAGCACACGGTATTCTTTAGTAAAAGGCAAAAGAATAGTTCGTTTTGTGCTCACCACGCAGCTGCGTATCTTGTATCAGTGACACTGCCCTTCCTCTTATAGCACACCCCATAATCCCATCTTAGTAGCTGCACGATATGGTGCTAATTCATCATCAGCTGTCTAACCTTTGCTTTTCCGTAGGCTGTCCAGCAATTCGGTGGGCTGTGGTACATCCATCCTTGGGCTGTCCAGCAATGCATCCCGCGGAGTCCGGCCCGCCAACGGTTTCACAAGTGAAGCATGTTCGCTTCGCTGAAAAGTCAGGATGAAAAGTACCGTTCGTTTAATAAGTTCAAGCGAACATGGCTGAAAAAAACTTGCATGTCTGGGCTTGAGTTTGCTGGGCGCACAGTCAACGCCTCACGATTTTTTATTTTTTTAACTCCTTTTTTTGGCAAAAAGAACTTCCCAACAAAAAAAAAAGTTACATATCTAACTCGCATCGCCAATTGATATAGCGATATTAACTTATCATCGCCAATAAACTGGCAGAACTACCTTACCGCCAATTCAAATGGTGGAAACTTTTTTTTTACAATGTCTTAAAAATCACATTCTTTTCATATGAAATCAGACAGGGACAAAAAAAAAAACATAAAATTCATGTAGCTTAACGAGATCTACAACTTCAAAGTTCATGATTTTTTTCGTTTGAAGTCATCTTAGTGCTGGATAATTGATACAACACTCACATGTATACAAATATAGATTTGAAACTTGTATTGATTATTTTGGCATCAAAATGACTTAAAAAAAAGTTGTGTGCTCCTGGACTCGCCGGTGTCGATCAGACGATCAATCATTACTTGTGGGTGTAAGAAAAATGTAGAAGCAATGAGGCACGATAGCGGCCAGGCTGCCACGATAGCGGCGGCAGCAGCAGAGACACAGAGACGCATGCTGCTCATGGCCGCGCTCTGGAGATAGAGCAAGCTGCTTTCCTTCTATTTTTCTCGTTGAACTGCCATTCTCTCATGCGTTGTCAGCGTGTCCCAGAATGTATCTGTTGGTGGACAGATTCTATATCGTAGTCCTCAGCATAATTCAAAAAAAGTGAAGCATACTTTAGTTGTGATTCAGGATGAATGGCAGTAGGTTGCATTAGGCATAGCTCAGAAGCCAAAGATGTGATAAGACAGTGACACTGAGAATGGAGTGACGCAAAAAGAGGGCAGTGCTTCTTTCAACATCTACTGTGCAGGCAGACAAAATAACCTGTTACCTGGCATACAATGCACCAGATTGCGTTCTGGGCTGAACCTACAGCTATGAACACCTATCTGTATCTGATGGCATTTAGGCCATACAAAAGAGCAAGCACAATTTTTTTAAAAAACAGTGCAACCCGGGGTCAAAGAAAATATGGGACTGCAGTTCTTGGCCCTCGCATCTGGTTGTTTTCTTCTGTCTCCGTGAAAAACTTGACCTCCCTTTCCTGGAAACAGAGCAAAAAAGATCAGCAGATAAAAGCACAGGAAAATAACACCACCAGAACTCATGTCAGCACAAACCGGTTGCTGCAATAACTTGGTAGCTTAAAATTCACATGCCGTTAAAATAGAATAGATGAAAGCCACCATTAGTTTCCTAGTTTAAATTGTTACATCCACGTCATTGAGATGACTGACACAAAGATAAATCTTTCAAAAATTATAATGGAATTGTTCAGTTCCAGTCATATAACAATAGTATGTTGTAGGAAGACAAAAAAAGATGTAAAGGAGCAATTTCTAAGTCTCCTCCCCCACATGCTTATGTATTAGGACTCAAGCAGCTTCTACAGTCCATCATAGGAAGACATAATGTTACTATGTTAGCACTTTACATCCTAGATATACAACATCAGCACCAGAACAAAACCTTTTAACAACAAGCAAGTTGGGGTATCCTACATCCAAGATATACAAACTAGCAAAAACCTTTCTTTGAAATGATCAAAGACCAAAAATCAGGAGGATTCCTTTAATATTCGAATTATTGTCATTTGAGGGCAGCCATCCAAATACCAGGAGCTAGTGCATGAATGAACATGAAGTGACCTACCATATTTTCACTGAAGCTTAGTATAGAAGCAACATTGCCACATCGGTAACAATAATTAGGTGCAGACCACACCTGGAAAAAAGAAGATAAAGCCCTAGTGAGCATGTGGAACTGCATTTTGACACAAATCTACAAGTGATCTTGTGAACTGATAACTCACAGTTACAAGACCTTTGTCAAACATGTACTTTAGACCTTCCTGGACCAGTTGATGAGCCCGGCAAACTAATTCAATCTTGTTAATATGGTTGAACTGCATTGAAAAAAGGCCAAGCAGTAAGCAAAATCAACTATATACAGTAATAAACAAAAGAAAAAAATACCTCTTGAGTCACCCTTGTTCCAAAGAGCCAACCTGCTCCACGGGGACTAACTGCCCATGTATCAATCTCTTCTGGGTCGCTCCACATCAGATCACAGAAAGGCCCTTCATGCGGAATTTCACAATTGCGATCAGTTATTTGTATCTGGAAACAACAAAGATATGGAATATTCATGAGACACAAAACTGAGTCAGCATTGTCTGCAAACAGATTCGACCTCATCCAACAGAAAAGTGAAATCACAGGGTCAGATATTTGCTCAGTTGATGCATGAGTTCCACTAAACAAGCATTTCGCTATATGCATGGGTGGCTTCCACATTTTTTTCATGACAAGAATATCTCTAGCAGCAAACTAGCATTAAATTTAAAAAAGGCGGCCTACACAGTCAACTGGTGGAAAGTTAGTAACTGATAACCACTTACTTTCTGATGCTAGCTAGAATAACCACTCATCATCTGATGCTTTTCTTAATGAAGGTATCCCTTAAAACAGCTAGAAAGCTACTGAAAGGGGCATAAAGTGTCCCTAACTAATTTACAAAGAAAAAAGGGTAACAAGCCTTAAAATGGCATATTGGCATCAGAATTCACAAAGCAACATATCTTATATGATATGATAGTTCATCAGGACATTATAAAGAGGCAAAATCTCATCAAAGAAGATGAAGAATCACTAACCTGATCTACTGACTGTACATTGGGTGAAAGGCCACCATGAACACAAAGGACCTAGATATTCAGCATGTCAACACGTATAACTTGTCAGGTTGTTGCTTCTCACTGGTCATGAAATAAAATCACAAAATTTCTTAACCTGTAACTTACTGTGCCATTAATGATTGCTCATAGCGTAAGGTAATAAAAAACATCAGTACAATATCGCCATGCATTGGCATTTCCGTATTTCCTTTGACACTCATCATAAAAACCATACACCTAAAACATAAATAAATGTATTAGCCCTTTTCATGATATAAGAACTGTTGGTTGACCAGGCGCAGTAGCCAATATTCTCATTCAGAATAAATGAATTGAACTAAATGAGACAGCAACTGCAAAAGAAATGTGAATAAGGAAATTAGAGAAAATGCAAAATGGGAAAATAATCTTCACATTTGGACATTGGTAGTACCTGTGTCAACTGTCTGCTTTCATGATTCCCACGCAGCAGGGTTATCTGGGCAGGATACCTATAACATACACAGAATCAGTGAAACAATAAATTTAAATGATGCTTCACATAGATTTATAATCTGAGCTTCTTGAATGACGAATTGAGGAACAGGCTACAGAACTAGCGAAACAAGTTGGAATCAAAGAGAATAAATTATTACTATTGATCTATCAAAATGGACTCAAAACAATCTGGTGCTATTAGGAAATTTGTTTAGTGGACATTGTTTCATTGTATGGATCAA